ACAAGGAGGAGATGAGCGTCGGGGTTGAGGGTTGTGGTGGTCGTTTCTGCCATGATGAGGTACAAAGCGAGCAGGAAATTGCAGGTGTGAAATTCGGAAGGGCGGGTCGATTTCAAGAGGTTTGGAGCTTGATCGGCTAGATGTTCATAAAGTATTGCGGGCCTGTGTATAGGCAAGCTCCGCTTGAGCTTGTTGAAGATCTACACAGTATGACAGATCAGATTAGATTAGATCAAAGCAAATGTGGTATAACAGGTTTTGTTCTTGATCCACAAACTATCGTCCTTTCATATATTAGAACTTTTTACGCAATGACCTATAGTTTACCCATTCAATCTGTCTACAGACGTGTGCTTCACAATACATTGCTCAATAGGAGGATTACACGTCCAATCCCTGATTACTTTTTCATCGACATATGATATTCAATTGAGGTTGGCCTAGTAAACGAATCACTCTTCCTTTAAAGAACAACAGAGTACGAAGATGTATTTCAGTACCCTAGTTCTACTCCAACAGATCTGAGAATCCATCATTGATGCTGGAACCACGGTTACCCACCATCCACAAATAGCGACTCCTTCAACGTCTTGAAACTATAACGAGCATACGGATTAGCTACATATCTACTCAATCGATAATTGTGATAGATGGACCTCACAAGGTAGGAATTCAGGTCATTGTCGAACCATATTAGTCGTCATTGTTAGGCATTGGTGAAATGAATCTCATCATGATTTGATGCCGTCTTTGGAGGGAGAAATGACACTTAACGTACCTGTGAGATAGTGTAATAATGTTCGCAGGCGTAATAATTCATTCTTGCTTGGTCTGTTGACGCCATTGCAGAAACTCCTCCGAAAGGATACTTCCGTGGCCCGCTTCAGAGATCTTGTACACCGTTATGGGGTGTCCTCGTTCGCAGTGGATCCGCCACACGCCGTCACCAGTAATCGTTGCTTTAAGAACTACCGCATGTTTAGTAGATAATAATCATTCATGCCCGCCGAATAGCGCGTATACAAGAAAAAAGGCGACGGAAGGGCTACCCACACTCCAAAAATGCACTTGCAAAATTGATACAAACATTCCCATCCCAGCTATACTGGCCCTCTCTCTTAACTTTTCCCGGGATCGAGTTCGTCTTGTACTCATCAAGACGTTGCAGGATTCCCTGCGGCGAGCGGAACCCTACGATGATACGTGGGACGCCGAGTAAGAATGACTGGACCCAGAATTTGAGCAGCTTACGCTCAAACTTTTGAGCAGAGAAGGAGGAGTTGGGTTCTTCGGCGGTCTTGAGTTCAACCCAGTTTATGTCCGTCGTGCGGTTGGCGAGTTTGCGATCCCATACTACAAGATAAGTGGTCAGTCTTGATGTATGATGGGCAAAGGTGGGCGAAGAGAGAGAAAAGAGAGGGAAGAGGAAGGGGAGTTACCGGCATCAACTTCACCTCCCAGAATTAGGCTGGAACTTCCAAGTCCGGTACGTACAACGGAGCAGTATTGTGCGTGGTTGGACACGATTTCGTGTTCACGGTTCTCGATTGTTTCGCGGGAGACTTTGTCCCATACGTCCGGGATCAGAGAGATGGTCTCGAATTTATAACCTGCAATGGTAGTAAACAATTGGAATCCTGAAGGTAAGGTGCAGTGAAATTGGTCACATACCCCAGAAACTCATCATGTCTTGAGACGGTTGGCCACGCCGAGGTTGCTGTCCGCTCTGCTTTTGCTGTAATGCCCACTTGGTAGCATGGTCTTCCTCGATGTAACTATTTGTGTCAGAAGGACAGTAAATTAATGAAGAAATCATCGTACATTGTACCCTGCGAGACATTAGATCAATAAATCCTTCTCAGGGGCTATACGTATGTTCGGATATACTGACCTGAAATAGGGTAGCATTCATATCGAAACTTGCAAGAAGATCAGATTTAGTACAAAGATACAGAGTGAAGGATATACTCATTGAACCTATCATAAGGAGCAGCCATGATCTGAACAATTCGTTAGCTTCCCCCCGGAAAGAGGGCTCATGGTGACCTCCCTTCGTCATCATCCCCCTCCACGTAATAAAGTCAACCTCAAGTAGCTCTCCTGTCTCTTTCTCCTTCTCAAGGATGGTTTTGAGCAAGCTATTGAGGCCGTCATCGGCCGTCGTGTCTAGTTTCTTGAACTCATTGAAACCAGCACAGAGATTGGCTCCCAATTTAGGAGGGTAGTAATACTTCAATGAAGAGTCATCAAGGCGAAACTTATGCTCCTCATCATAGGAGAAGCAAGCAATTTCCTAAGCGTACTTAGAGAAAGGCCATAGAGGTGGGTTGAAAACGATTCAGGGGAAAGGGTAGTACCTCAGGCTTGCGGATGGCACTGCCCTGGCCTACGAAACGGTCCACAGGTTCGATCGGGAATGAAGACATGTTGAAATCAGTAGAAGCATAACTTTATAGAAAATTTGATCAAGAAAGGGGAAGTAGGTAACTTAAGAGGATGATGTGTCAATGATCTGAAAATGGCTAATGAATGCAATGACCTGAGAGAAGAATGAACTGGAGAGTGATAGATCTGTTAACAAAAAGTCAAAGTGAATAGCAAACATTCAATCTGTAACCATCCTCTGATCCAAAATTTTAGTAGCAATGGTATTCTTCATAACATTATTGACGGTGAAGATGATATTCTTCTTCAAGGAGGTAGGATAAAACTAAATCCAGCAATTAGCTTGTTCCCGCAACAACCACAACCCGCAAACAAATAACTCTACTTCTTCCACTTCATGCACGTCTTCCAACCTCCACTTCTGCGATTCTCCGCATCAACAATCAACAACATGGCCTCCCGCGCACCCACAGGCAACCCTCGCACCACCACTGCCTCCGGTGTGCGTCGCAACCTCTTCTCCGCCTCCCTAAGCCGTCGACCCACCACATCCTCCACGTCAACATCCGCAACTACCCTACACGCAAACGAAGATGAGACTGCGCGTGATCTCATCGAGCGGGATGAGAGCGGCGCAGTGCAGTTTACCCAATTGAATATCGCGCCACTCCCTGCAGACGAAGAGAAAGATGAGCGAGGTATGTTCGGAGCATGCACAAGTACAATTGTATTCAATGCACAAATCTTTGCGCGCTCTATACGATCATTCTACCAAACTGCGTTTTCTGATGTTTGGGGTTGGAAACAGAGGCGGAGAACAAGTTGATTGAGACGTATCGGAAGCATCAACAGCATATTGACCCAGCTGGTGAGTCTCCTTCTCAAAGCTCGAGAACAAATGGGTTTTAAGGGTGATGACGGATCCTGTACAATGAATCATTGAGAAGGCCGTCGACACGTAAGGTCGATGGTGCTAACTTGTTATGTAGAAGTCATGGCGACTTTGAAAGCGAGTCTTCAGGCCAAAGTCGCATCTTTGGATGAGGATAAGTGGATGTTTGAAGAGGAAGACCCGGTTCCGAAATGATGGTTGGGCAGAATGTGTCCTGACTTATGACTGCAATTATGGGGATGAAGGGTGATTTGTTCATGATACCCGGCTTTCAACAACAGCTTGAGCCATAGGCGTTCGGACGGGGCAGCATAGCAAGAGAAATATACGTCTTTCTGGGAATATGAATGGTATACTGCACTAGAATGATACAGAGTACCCGCCCCGATCATTAATCTACGCCAGGAGCTGGTGCCGGTGAGTCCAGTCTTCTACTCTTCGGTTTGGATCCCGCTCCAGCTCCTCCACCACCCATAAACAAGCTACCCATCATGTCGAACAGCGGGTTGCTTTGCGACGGTGCCCTGATTCCGAAATACATATGTCCAACCTGTGTCAAAGCGTCATCCCAAGCGCTCACCTCCTTCAAGTGTACGGAGTAGTGACTCTTGAGCTGCCTGAACAAGTCTGTACTCCCTCTCTGTACCGCCAGCAAAAGCAAACCAAGGAAGTTGAGCAACGGAAGACTGGGATACGCTCTTAGATCCGAACTGTTGCTGCTGACCTCTTGCATCCCAAGTTCTGGGTGTGCCTGACTCAATTTGCTCGTGAAGAGTAGGTATGCCTTATTCGCCGATCGAAGGTTTCCAACGAGAAGATACGGGAATACAGCACGGGCTGCATAGAGGGGCGCCGTGTGAGAATCATCTTCGGTGTACCATTCGTATTCCATCCGTACGAAGTAGTCAGGTGAATCTTTCGTCCCAAGTGTGAAGTGCCGTTCCGCATCGTATACCTCGGAGTCTATAGCGTGTTAATTCCGTTGTCACCTCAAGTCTTTCTCGTGGGTCATACCTTCCGCATACAGAGTACCAGCAACATGATGCAGCTCTGGATCGCCAGCTGGATATTCACCCTGTTTCGCAGACCACCTTTTTCAATTAGTAAATCCCTAACTCGTGAATATCTTGTCAACATACCTAATCATCTCCCCAATGAACTTCTTCCTTGTCGGCTCTCCCGGAGGAAAGCTCCTCAGCAGCGTGAGAAGCCTTCCCTTCGACTCAGCATTCGGCGTGGTTTCCGCCTTGTTGTATACGTCGACCAGATAGATGCATAGATCCGCACCGCTACCTCCTTGTCCCGCCTTAAGAAGCATTCCCGCTCCCGAAGACAGCACGTTTATCGCATCGTCCCATTTCGATTGCTTGATGTAGCGCGAGGCTATGACGCGGAGCTGCTGGTGAGCTTCGTAGTATTGCCCTTCCTCGACTCTATAGAACTAATTAGTTTCTTGGTCCATAAGTAAATAGTAAAGGCCGCTTACTTCTCCCGCTGACGAGCTATTGTCTTCTCTATTTTCGACATATTGGGTTACTACCTGTTTGCTTGCTGGGGGATAGCAAAGAAGTTGGTGGGGCTTGAAAGAGGGACGCTATACTTGGCAGCGGAACATCGATATCGTCACCCCTCAAACCCTCAACACCTCAAAAATAATATTTCTGGGTCTTCTGATCACATAACTAACAAAAACAATTAGTCAAAAATGCAAAAGAAAAGCGGATGCGACCAACGGGACTCGAACCCGTGCCTCAAGCATGGGAAGCTTGAATTCTACCCCTGAACTATGATCGCTATGGTCGGGTTTTCCATCCCTTTCTGACTATGTTAAAATTTTATTAGTACCCAATCGGGTAAACCTGTCCCTCCTTTTCTTCAGCCAGATAGCTATCATGGAGCACCAACTTTGAGACGTTCCCCCTCACGGCACTCTTCTGTACTGTACGCTCACACTCAAAAGTGTGTCCAGATCTACGGTACAGAGACGAGGAGAACATACAGCGCATTCACAAGAGTGCAAACAGTTTCAAAATATGATCTGTTTACACGTACGGCTATTGTCAGGGGGAGCTCCGGCTTCCTGTACAGCAAAGGTGAAAATGGGAGTAAGCCTGCTGACCGTACGCAGGACTTGGCCGTACCGATACTGGGAATCTTTTGACATATCACGCTCAACGACTTGCAAGTGGACCTGGTAGTATTAAAACGAGATATATCCATCCAGCAATGCGAAACAATACTCATCCAGGAGGACGTTCACTTGAATTACAATTTCGCTCATTTTCGAAAATTTATAACCTACGAAATCTCTCCATCAAAAATCCCCCCTTAACACAAACCTCCTCACCCCTATTTCGAACAACAATCCTTCGGTTTTGCACTAACACTCTTCCGATCCGTTTTATCCCACTTCCCTCCACTCGGATAACTACTATAGCTCGGCGGGACATCCAAGCATGGATTCCGCGTGAAGAAGTTCCGCGGGCGCAACAGCAGCGTCATCGGCTCCGCCGGCATGACGGGGAAGTCCTCGGGAGACGGGAAATGCGTGATGCCGAAGGTATGCCAGAGCACGACGTCGGTGTTATCGGTCGAGGCGTCGGGGTCCGCGGCGATCCAAGCGGGCAAGCCCATAGACGGGACGCCGGAGGTTTGCGGGACATGCCGACCTGCGGGGTGGATTTGTGCGTCGTCGTCTAGCAGAAAGGTTAGTATCGTATAATCGAGCCCAGGCGCCCCCCCCCCCCCCCCCGGGGGGAGGGGGACCGGTTGAGGGATCGAAACTCACATTTCGTAACGTGGATGGCGTGACGGGCGAATCCGGCACGCTTCCACACTAATCCGCCTTCCTTAGGGAGAAGCTCCGGGACTTCGCGGCTGACGAGCTTGTAGGAGACGGGCTTGTGGCTGTATGGGTTGATCTTGTTCGGATTGCACATCTCCCACGTCCGGCTCGTTGCGCCGTTGTAGTCGCTCATGCTGCTTCCTTGCGTGGCTAGTTTCTTCTTCTTCGCGTAGAACGCGTTCCCGTACTTGTTCTCTGCCGAGCCGACCTCTCCTGGGCCCCTAGCAGCGTCTACTTCGAAGACTGTATTGGATGGCCCGTCGATATTGGGGTCGACGCGTAGGCAGAAGAGATGTTGGTGGTTGTGTGCATTGACACCGGGGTAGACTTCGGTTCCCCAGCCCTGAGGATCCTCACCTGGGTTCATGGCATAGGTGTTCAGAATACCGGTCAGTTTGATCTCGAGCTGGACGGTTCCGTCCTGGTGGAAGATCCAGTATACGCAGTACTCGTAGTTAGCGGCAGTGAAGATGTGGGAAATTACTAGTTTATGTGCGCGAGTTACAGTTACGGAGTCGTCTCTGAAATCGGTCTGGAAGATGTCAGATCGCTCGTAGGTCAAATCGGGGTCGATTAGAACTTACATGTTTAAACAGTATTCCAGCGTCTTCCTCGTGAATACAAATGGCGTTTTTTATGGTAGTAGCGGCACCTGCACGATTGACAAAAGCTGCATCCATGTAATAGATAGCTCCTTTGCAATCACAGCCTAAGCTCAGACTGTTTGTCATGTAACCACCTCCGTACTCTCCAAGATCGAACGCATGTTTCCGATGATGAGGGTGCTCAGGATTACCATACGGTACGACCATCTCCGCCAGGGACAGTCTCCAGAAAACGGGTCGGACATTACCTTTGTCGTTGAAGGTGATATTGCTAAGGACAATCCCTTCCCGGTAGTTAAAGCCGACGTGGACTCTCCAGTTTTGCCAATTGATGATTCTACCTTCCATGGTGAATGAGACACCCTCCGGCTGAGTGATTTCGATAGGCTTGATATCGGTTCGGAATCCACCTTCCGCTTCGATAGCTGCGGCATGATAATTGTTCGGCGGTGCCTTGTTGACAGGCCTTCGTACCTTTGGAACATCGATGTGGATGATCTCTTGTGTATCTGCGTTGAAGATTGGGCAAAAATCCAGAGGATAGCTATACTGGCTGTCGTCCACATGCGGTCGGAAGTACATCAATGCCTGCTGGAGGCGGATATTGCTGCCGAAACGCTCATCATATCCAATTGTCCAGGCTGTGTTGAAAGGTTAGCAATATCCTTGGACCAGGGGGAAGGGGGACTAACGGTCACAATACACCTTGTGCATGTCTTCCGGTGGAATCCCTATCAGCCCGCACTGTTCAATGACCTTGGGGTCTTTCCGGACTATAGTCTCTACGATTTGTAGATCCTCCATTGTGATCTAAAGCACTATTTAGTTTATAGTTCAGTATAAGGGGGGAAAGACTATTCACCAATGGCTGCACACCCTCCGTCAGTTCCCAATGCACGATTTTCTCCTCATTCAGATCCACATGGCCATCATAGACCTTGCTCCCTCTCCCAATGGCCACCACATCAGCAATTCTGTGCGGTCTGGGAGTGTGGTCGGGATCTGCCACCCATTTCATCATCTCCGACTTCCGCGGTTCCCATAATGTAATGGCATTGAAGAAGAGGCCGTCATGTTCTTTGCGTATGATGGCAACTGCTTTCTCAATCTCCACTTCTGAAAGAGGGTCGAAAGGATGAGGAGGCGGACTCTGGCCTGTCACGTGGGAGGCGACCTGCTTGAGACGTTCAAGTACCATTGTGGGAGTCCGTGTAGTCAATTGTTGAGCTTTTTCAATCCTAATCTCGATGTGTTACTCGTTAGTATTTGAGCTCTCTCGATGAGAATTCCTGAGATGATCAGAAAATCGAATGAGACGGGAATCGAGTTTTAAATAGTCATGATATTCAGGAAAGGGCTGTCTTCAAATATTATTTATATAGATTATCTACCTGTTATCGCTCTGGATCCCTCCACGGCTGGGTCAGAGGGGCTGCAGAAGCGTTGTATGGCTTAACGTTGAATCTCAAGCTCCGATAAGTGACTGTTACCAGTCTGTCAGTCCCTCCGCTAAACCAATTACGGTCATAAAACCCGAAGAGTTGGATTTCAAGTCCAATCTAGGAGATACAACATTGCTATGCCCTACTTTTAGCATCCTCTTCATGTGGAGTGACCCCTCTCGTTTCCGATCACCAGCAATGTGAATGGGTTGCTATTGGCCTGTTGTGGTCAAGCGGATAGTGAAATGGAAGATATTCCGCAATGTCAGGAGCAAAGAATTGCGACTACCGCAAATAAGACATGTATAACGGATGCCGGTATGTCGTACTGCTCTAGAGCCTCTATCTACCTTATCCACTAGAAGTACCGTTAGGCCCACGTACTGAACTTTCAATTGTGCCGACATGAGCCGATCCGATGGCACCTCTGACCTTATTTGACCGTCCGTACGGTTATACCATTGGCCTCCTCCCTATCACTCTATACGTGAACTCGTAGAGTGATAAGTGTATACATTTCCTATCGTGGAAGGACTGGCTCGCTGTACACTTATGCTTCACAAGACTTTCATGTAGCTCCTGATCCTGCTCCTCCTCTTCTTCATCTTCTTTCTCCTCCTCCTCCTCCTCCTCCTCCTCCACCACCACCACCCTCCCCATCGTCCTCGAGCTCTGACGAGGAAGGGGATAGAAAAGCGGTTATGAGGGCCTTGCAAGGAGACAGCAGTCAACCGCCCCTCCCGCTCTAGACACAAGTATCGGAGAAGCCATCCGATACATATTAGCTACGCGGTACCTCAGTGAAGAGTCACACTGGCTCTCTGAACTTGGCTACACAGCAAGTGTACAGTGTGCCAACAGACGGAGTATACGGCGAGCGAATAAGACTACGGGACCAATCGTGACAAAATCCCCGGACGTATGGCAAGCATTTGGTAATATCCACCATCCGACTTGATGCCTCACGTCTTCTCGTAAGTACGCAAAACGCGCAAGAGCGAGTAGAAAGAATCTAGAGCCTCTGGTGCTAAAGATCCAGTAGTTCGAATCTTGGTCCGAGTATGTAGCGCTTTTGCCGTAAACCCGTAACCTATGAGAACGCACTGTGACTATTTCAAAAACGATGCCTTAATTCCCAATTTCGGAGCGATTCCTGACGAGGCCATAGATACTAATATGTCAATGGAATTGCCTTGGAAATCTTACTCTCAAGGGAGTGGCCCTGTTCTTCCATTAAACCAACCCAGCGGCTTTGTTATGCCATCTCCATAACAAGTAGTTAAATGGGTACAAACTGTTAGATCCTGAAGACATGTTGTCCTAGTATGATCTCTAGGAGCTTTAAGGGACCCCTCTTTCAATGTCCCGACTATTCCTCATCTTGAACCCGGTGATTAAGCCACCGTTCTCAACTTTCCTCACACTGGGTGCTGAAGTCCGACTGGTGACTGGCAGCAGGTAATTTTGAATCCTGTCAGTTTCCACGCTCTTGCGGTTTGTGCTCAGGATATTCTCCATCTTTAGCAAATCATTTTGCTGATGCGGTTCACAGTTCTTTTCTGTTGCGCGCTTGCGTCGTTCATGTACACGTCTTCGTACATCGTGATAAAGGTCGGCAATATTGTCCAATTGTAGTGCAATAACGACCAAAGGAATGGAGATTGCAAATCCGATACCGAACATGTATTTTGAGACGTACGATAAAGGTAAGCTTTCGCTGCCGTCATTTTCCCGAGGAAATTCGCGAATATTTATGGTGAAGAACGCTGCAATAAAGCTGAGCGGGAGAAAGATGATGGTAACAATCGTAAACACCATGATTGTCTGACTCTGTTTTGCGGTACCTGCTGCTTGATCACGAGCAAAACGTGCTTCGAAAGCATTGGCATGTTTCTGCTTGAG